CATCAATTGATGCTGAGATGCACAGTTATGAGAATCAGATATCTTTTAATTAATAAATTACCTTTAAAAAAAGGCAAAGATCTGAGTAGCAAGATCATTTTTGGTGGTGATGGGGGGAGGGGGGGTTGAACAAAAAAACAAAAAAAAAAACCCAATGGGTGGGGGAGGGGGGCATAGGTAGGATAAAAGTCAAACAAATTATCCTTGGTGCAGCATTGCTAAAGTTAACACATTCTCATTCCTATCTTCTGTACAACAGGGTTCAGATCACAATGACCTCTGACCTCCGTGAAACGTTTAATATACTGACTATTATACTTTACTTGAAAACAATTCATGAAGGTGCAAGTTTTCCACCACATTAGAGAGCATAAGTGGAACCTCTCTTGTCGGTTCAAAAAACTCCCAATCACATGTGTCATGACAGGGTAGAATCAGACACTCGTCAATTTTTGGTCATGAGGCGTTTATATTGGTATCATCAAAAAGCTTATTCATTTGCCATACTTTCAATTAAAAAAATACCCATCTATCTTTAATAGAAGCTGAGATATTTGCCATTGAAGGAGGTGAGGTCGCCTGGTTTCTGTGGTAAAATAAACAAGAAAATGGCCGCCAAGTTGGGTAACTTCAATAGCTTGAGAGTCCTTGAAAACAGATAAATTACATACTTTGTGCCTTATATCAATGTTTTACAGTCAAATTCGCACAGAAATCTGTTTTAGATGGACATAAAAGGTGATGGGCCAAAAAACAGAAATTCAATAAAAATTGCCAAACTGGAGGAAAAATGCCCGTTTCTTCGATTTCATTACTTTGACGAGCGCATGATTTCACCACGATGCCTCACATATTATAACGTCACGTAAAACCTACATTACTAGGAGAAGACAACCTTGTTCTCATTGTTCATGTCAATCTCCATGGCACCCTATTGTAAACCAAAGAAAAGAAAATTGTCAACATTGTAGCATTCTTCTTGTAGCATTCTTCTATGAACAAATCTTAAAAAAACCCTATTTTGGACCAAAAATTCCAACAGCCACTATACAAAGATCTATAGATTGTCTTTTCCTGCAACTTGTCAAAATACAAAATGACTTCGTACAATTTGCTGAATGTCTTTGAAACACAAGACCACTGCCTGAGATTTCTTTCATGGAGTTTCCCCCCAAACTCCTTTTGTCTGACGATTCCTTGTCTCTATAAAAAAAAAACACATTTTATTGCAGATTAAATTCTTCATGCCAAAGAGGGGGGAAAAAACAAACATCCTTCCCACCAATGTGGATGACAAAACATAAACGACTTGGACCCAGTTTGAGGTGACCCTTGTGGTTGCACTTCTTCATAACTAATAAGAGAGAAGTCTTCCTCTGAAATTTATTTTTCTTACAATAGATACACTGTAATTTTGACATTTGAAAACAGTTTCATTATTTGGCCTTAAATTTTCACTGTAGGCTCAGTGCAATTTCACTTCTTTTTACCACTACATAGACACCAAACAAACCATTACTTTTCCTATAAATAATACAATGTTTATAATTCTTTCCTTAAGTCCCGTAAAGCTAAAACAATTGTCAACACATTCCATAAGTAGCACATTAGGTTACACAAGATCCATGACCAAAGAAAGACTAAAGACATGGACCTGGTTACCTGACAAAAGTATCTATGATTCTATGGCATGCTAGAACCTCTAAGAGTTGATAGGACAATCTACAACAAGCTAGAATCCTTGATAGTTACCTGACAGAACAGTTTATAACAAGTTGGAACCTCCAATTAACAAAAGAATCTATGACAATCCTAAACCCTTTATGAACAACTTTACAAGTACTGGCATTATGTTTCAATGACACCTTCATCCTAATTATCAACACAATGAACAGCTGGGTTCTGTACAGACTCAGATAGCACCTTCCAATATTTTGGTATACATCTCATTTCATTTCTCTTGCTAATTAGGTAGAAAAGTCATTGTATTGCAAAGTACAAAAAAAACAAAAAAACAACCCCACCTGACAACTAATCTCATGTTCAAATACAGCCCCCTACTTTGCACTAACTTCCATAAAAATTGTTCAGAGTGAAATTGTATCAGACATATGGTGATCATTTTCATTATAATTATCATTCTCCAATGAAAATCATTTCATTTGTAAATCATGTAGCCTGCAACGGTTTGGGAATCAATTGGCATGGAATTTGAAACTTCCTTCAAACTCTCTGTAGAGAGATGGGAAAACTCTAAGACAGCTAATATCTCAGTGCACTGGTCATTGCTAGAAAGACAAGGCTATGCGAATCAAAGAATAAATCGCCAATGTTGAAGGTAGAGAAGGCTCTGTGGTAGTTTCTGGTTCTGTATTCTAAAATGTGGTAGGAAAAATATGACGCAAAGAGGTTCTGTAGTGATATTTTATTTTTAAAAAAGAAAGAAAAAGAAAAGCCAGGAGGAAACAAAATAAATATATCTGAATTCTTTCTTCACTTCTCAATAGAATCAGAATCAAAGCTCAAAGGTTTTTTTTTTTTTTACTAGAGGCGTGTTGTTACATTCTTCATTATTTGGTTTCTCCCCCCCCCCCCCCCCCCCTCTTCTCGCACCATAACTGATTCTAACGCATTTTATAATATTTTTGCACTGAGATTTGCACATCAAAGTCTATTGCAAAGACTGCACTGTGGTCAAAGAAGGTCACAACAAAAACAACACAATCTATTTCAGTAACAAGTAACAGACTATGGAAAAGGAAAGAGACATCAGCATCGAAATTACAAAAACAAAAAAGAAAAAAAGTCAATGGAAGAAAAGATCTGTTCAAAAAGCCCAGTAATAGTGGTAACAAAGACATTTTTTCCTCCCCCCCCCCCCCCTCCCAACATCTGGGTATTGTGTTATGATTTAAAAAAAAAAAAAAAAAAAAAAAATTAAAAACCCATAAAGCTCAGGTGGTTGACAGGAATATGTACATCATCAGGAATGAAAATCCAAACCCTCTTTTAAAAATTCTTAAAGAACATTATAATATTATTATGAAGCTGTGGTCATTTGGTGATGAGCGGCGGTAGATGATGGCGGTCTTCTTTGTCCGAGAACGTCATGCAAGCACAAAACAAAAAACAACTAATGATTTATCTGGCATAAAGTTTATCTATAATGTGTGCGTGTGCGTGTGTGTGTGTGTGTGTGTGTGTGTGTGTGTGTGCGTGTGTGTAAGCTAACATTTAATTGCGCAACAGATTGTTGTAAAACTCTTGAACACATTATCAGCCTCTTCTTAAAAATTTTCCACAAGACTTAAAGTAAAGAGAAAGGGGGAAGAGGGAAGGGGAAATCATAATAATAATAATAATAATAAATATTCACAAATTGGTTTAGGGTGCCTTGCAGAGAAGAAAAAAAAAAAAGAAAATGATCATCAAACAGATTGGCGGAGAGGACATGAGAGTAACAACTCAAACCTCGGCCAAAGTGCAGTGGGTCTTAGTAACCCTTTGAATATAAGTATTGCTATTCCTGTTGCTAATGGTACAACAAAGAAAACAAAAAGTCATCATCATCAGACAAGAGGGGGGGAAATGGTCTTCAGTCAACTGTACAATTACAATCATTTACAGAGATTTTTTAAGGTAAAGAGTAATGATAATAATAATAATAATAATAATAATAATATAGTAATTTTTACAACATTGATTAATCATATATAATATAATATATATATATATGTATATTATATATATAGAATATAGAATAACAAGATGGTTGCCTTTGTGACTTCTAGGAGTCAGAACTTAAATAAGAAATTGTAACAATAAAATACAAGATGAAGAGATGAGAGAGAGAGAGAGAGAGAGAGAGAGAGAGAGAGAGAGGGAGGGAGACAGAGAAAGAAAGAGAGAGGAGAGAAGAGGAGAGGAGAAGAGAGAGAGAGAGACAAAGAGAGAGCGAGAGAGAGGACGTGAGCCTTCGCACTGGTGCTCACAGTAAGGGAGTGAGGACAAAATTCTGATATGATGATATTGACTTCTACACAACAGGATGGCCGAGCCATAATAGTACATGGTTTTGATGTTTATGAGATGATAATGATAATGACGATGACGACAACAGGGCAAATGTGATAATAAAAACATTGCATCATTACAAGACCCAAGTTTTGTTTTACTCATTTATGTACAGAAATGGGAACACAAAAAAAAAGAGAAAAAAGACAAAACACCTACATTCACAAACATCAAAGTAACACGGAAAAAAAAAAAGTTGCCGATGTGGCCCAAATGAGGTGACATGTTTCTGCTGCCTGAAAGGAACGGATTCACTCTTCTTCAACTGCTTTTGCTAGAGTCAACTACAATTCACATCAACTGATAGGCTTGCTCCTCATGCGCACGGACCAACATTCTTCTACCAACCAACCATTTGCATCTCTAGAGCATTCCACACTGGCTTCATTCATGCACTCCACATAATTATATCCACTTGCGCCTTCTGATCATGGTTTTCAAAACTCGCATTAAAAGACGTATATATATTTGATAACACAAAAACATGGGAGTTACTCTGGATTGAGGATGAATGGTTCTCTATTCTCTGTCCATACACATACATGAGCTAAAACTTTGATCGCGTAGCCCGTACATGGGGAAAAAGCCGAGTCTTAACTGGTAGCTCTATAGGAATAATATCTTTTGTTCACACACCTGACAAAGGAAAAATGCCTGGTTTTTTAAAGTAGATCGAGGTCTTTACAAAAAAAAATTTATTAACCTGACTATATTTTTAAAAAACATATTAAAATTCTGAAAAGTGAAGCCAGGTCAATCAGTATGTAGAGCTTTAAATAAAATTTGTCCGGCAAGAAATTGAAATTGTGTTACAAAAGAAACTTTTTTGGTTTTCAAGAATTGAAGAGGAAAACGCCATAAGATAAAGAACGGCTCACTTTCATTTCCATTGCTTAAACCTGTTTGTCCTTACCTCAATTTATTTTTGTACTCATAATGCCAAAATATGTGTAGATCTACAATTCCCTGAATGCTAATGCAACATCAATGCACTTTTTAACCTCTTCAATACCTATTAATATGAGTGATTTTATCTATGTCTAGTTTTGGATGCTGGGATTCAAACCACAAACGTTTCATCTGGCAAGACACTGTTGCGTAAGCATAACCACCCAGCACACTGGACACTGGGTGATGTTTCTACAAAAGCCATCCAGTTTTTAAAAAGTCACACCATACAAGATATTGTGCACATGGACTCGTGAACTTGTAGGTAAAAACACCACAAAATTATACACATCAACAAGACAAATGAGAGCCAGATCACATTTCCCCATGACATAAACACAAAAACAAGACCAAGAAAAAAAAACAAAAAACAATGCTACACAAAACCAAAGACAATTACCAGGAATAAATTTTCTCCATTTTTTTTATCTACACAATAGTTCAGACAGAATGAGAGAGCAAAAGTACCTGAAACACTAAGACTTTGCCTAAAGAAAGAGAAATGTCTGAGAAAAAGTTGATGCAACATACTGAGTGCAAAACACTTCCACGTCAAACTCCCACAGTACAATAACTCGTCATAAGAGTCTGTGCCAGCAAAAACTCACTCCAAATTAACATCTTGTCTAAGGGCATCAGTTACCTAACAAAAATCAGACTAGTTAAAAAATTAAGGATTAATCATTTCCCCCTCACAATATTTCAGAAGATCATGGACAGGTTATTAATGAATGGTCACCCTGTAATACACTTTGACATTTATCAACATCTTTCTGCAACAAACAAAACTGCATAGTAAACATCTACACTTTGCTTAGAAGTTCTCAAAACCAATCTTTAAAAATTCACATCATAAGATAAATACATTTCATAAAACATTCTTTACCTCGTCTTTTACAAACATCTCCCACTATCTAAAGGCATATATAAACGAGCGATGAACTTGAGATAAAAATGTCATCATACTGGCAGGGGATATTCTGAGTAACTTGTGCCTCATACAGTCGGTTAGGTCGGAGTGAAAAACAATGGCAGCTTCTCGCACAAATCATTGACGGGAGAAGAACTTTCAAAGATAAAAATGCCACAACTAAAGAATAAATTAAAATGCTGGTGTTCATAGTTCTCGTGCCTGTCGACAGAAACGCTGAACCAATTTCAACCCATGTTATGCAGAATGGAACCCGGTGCAATCTACGCAGTTCAAAACGCCAAAGCCAACCAAAGACTTTTCAGCACCACAAGCACCTCTGTTTCGTTACCCTTTAACACTTTGCTGGTCACATCTCGCCGATCGGCAAGAAGTCGAACTTCCGCTCCTGTCACAAAACGCGATGTCTACCACCCAGTTTCTTTGGATTTTCCCCAAAATGCATGTGATGGCAAAGTGATAAAAGGAGCAGAAATGAGAGGACTGGATTTCTGTACAAAGTACATGTGCACGGCTGTAAGTATACAGAGTAAAATCCAAGGAAATAAAATGTATGGAAGTTCAAGTATTTATGAAGATGAATTGTGTAAGAAACCAATTTAAACAAACCAAAGGAAGCAATATCTGAAGACATCCGGGAACCTTCACCTGTTGGAAGCAGCTGGTAAGAAAACTGTAATTTAAAAAAAAAAAAAGCAGTCGAGGGAAGACTAGAAATTTTTCACTATGTCTGACCAAACTGAATTATGACTGGATGTAAAAGGCATGATTACTCTTGTATGAGACAGCTTTGTGATGAAACAAGCATTAAAATTGTCTCAGTCACGTTCAAAAGTGAAGACAATGTTTGATGATGACGTGAATTAAGGAAGTGAGTAGATTACTATCGCAGGACCTACAGAACTAAGAAAAACAAAATTTTGAAAGATCATAAAAATAAAAAATTAATTAAAACTTTTTAAAAATCTGTCAGCGACGTAAACCTATACAGCACTGCTTTTGTTTGTTCCCTTTGACAATCCCCTCTTGATCCCGACTCATTTTAGTTTCTACTAAAAAAATTTCACCACGACGACGTAAGAACAGAAAAAAAAAAACTATTTAAAAAATCAAATAATTAATTAACGATGTGAAGTTATTACAGCGATGAGCAAAATCCAAATGGTACATCCAGCACTGAGTAGAGTGCGAGTGTTTCAGAAAATACTGGTCCTCTCCATCGCTCAGTTCCATCCAGGTTTGCTTGTGCAGCCTTCCTCAAACTTGGCAGCCGTAAGGCCATCATCAATAGGCCACTACAGCAACCACCACCACTTCGTAACTTCTAAAACTGCTTCAAGCATATCCATAGTTTGCAACACCAGTGCGCAGAAAATGTAGGTCTTTTGCCTGAAAGTTAGGTATGAAAGCACATGAACAAACGACACCAAGTTTAAAAACAGTCCTGTGTTTGGTGGGGGAGGGGGGTGTGTGAGATAGGATACAGCCAATCCCAGTCCCAGTGGCCCCTAAACCACCCATTCTGCAGTGTGCAAGTCTTTCACTCTAATCCATGATAAAAAGTGAATGCAGGTCAGTCAGTCTGTCAGCAAGTAAACTTGAACCAGCAGGATACTTGTCTCAGATGATATGATTGGATAAGTGGGCCTCAGCAGGGCGGCCAACCACAGCAAACATAACTTTGTGATTTGTTGAATAAGTTTTTGATCTTGTGGCAAAAGAAGATCGGTATCATGGGTAATCTTGCAAAGGTCACTCAACACACAAGTGTTGTATAAATAGCACAAACATCATTTGCAAACAGTCTGTTTGATTGCTGTTACAGTAAGGAGGAGATCTGGTTTGTGTGAGTCCCGGGTAGGGAAGGCAGCAGCAGCTTCACAAAGAAGCATTTGTTGTGGTAGTGCATTGAGGAGCAGCTTTTCCAGCAGAGCGCTTTTAATCCACAGTAAAAATGTACTTGGCACATTTGCGTTATGCCATCGTATCTAGAGAAAACCTCACACACTTACTTTGTACCGTTTCGTAACACAAATGTCTGTATGCACTTGGGCTGTAGGAAACAGAGGGAGATCAGGGCATGCCACTGATTTTCACAGCAGATCCATGTCACACAGAGTTGATAATACATCCATGTGAGTTGTCACCCTCAATGACTGTCTATTCCATGTCGGAAAGCAGAAATGTTTGAATGAGATGTCAGGTGAGAGGTGGGGGAACAAACTATGCAGTAATCCGGAATCTGTTCATAGCTTGAACAACAACCACCTTGGATGTACATCACGAGAACAGATCAATGAAGTCGAGTGCTGAACAAACTCTCACACTTTTGAATCTTCTCTCGTTTCTTGAGTGAATGGACCTCGCTATAAAGTAGCGGTAGGTTTACGGACAAAACAGAGAGCCAGCATGCTCACAAGTGTGTAGGTGCAGGTAGCTCAAGACGTACCCTACGAGCAGTATCTGGTTTGATGTGGAGCTTCAGATTTCAAATTTCTCTCGTAAAAGCTGCGGGGGTGCGCTGTAGTAGGTACGAAAGGGAATTGTGGTCCCTCATACCCCCTGAATGTGGCAGTGACGATTACCACAAGCACAGCCCTCGTCTTGCCCGGCAACTTTTTCTCCAACAATAAGACATGGTAGGCTTTGGTGTGTGGTCCTTGAATGAGGGTAGGGGGGGGTCTACGAGTCGAAGAATGCCAGGAGATCATCGCCAGCATTTGACGAGTTCTGTCCGTTATCCCCCGTTGAGTCTGCTGGGCCCAGGTAGGCCGTCAACAGTTCCATATCACTTAGGTTGTCCGTCAGTAGCTGGGGAAAAAAGACAAACACATTTGAATGTTTCTTTTGTTTTGTGTGAGGGCACAGAAGCAAATCAACACGGCAATAGTCATTTAGTAGAGGGAATAAAGTGAGACCAACAAATGGAAAGCAAAAGATATAGGACCTACCAGTGGCACTCTCCAACCACTAGCACATAGATCAAACATTCTACCAGTTAACGCAAGTATTAGAGAGAGACTCTGACGAGCATCACATATTTTGAGAAGTACATGTTAAGAGAATCAGAGAAAACTTGGGGCTGCACTTCCAAATATAAGCACCAAAAGTATCTAAAACAAAAATGGCAGCAAGAGGCAAAATGCAGTGGGTAGATTTTGCTAACGTGAAAATTTGAGGTTCATATCTTAATTAATGAAGAAGAGGGGAAAATTTTTTACGAGTTTCAATACAAAGTGAAAAGAGAGACATATCTAAGTTTTTAGTACAAACACAAAAGAACTGTATAATATCTTGCTGCTTGTATTTGCAAAGTGCCTAGGGTTCGAGTACTTTAATTGGAGTCGAGTGCTATGAAATAAACGCCACAGGCCACAGTTGTTATTACTCCTATTAAAATAACAGAAACATAGCCAGTTCCTCTGCTTACCTCAAGCCCTTGGGCAGCACTACTGTCACCATTTATAATTGCTGCGGGATCGAAGTTCAAGTCTCCGAGTGCATGACAGTCCGTTGGTAATGAACTGCTGATGCTGTTGCTGTTACCGTTGTTTGCGGTCATGCCGTTGCTGTTATTGTTGTTGTTGTTGCTGTTATTGTTGTTGATGTTGTTGATGCTGGTGGTGGGCGTGCTGTTGCATGTGGTGGTGGCGGTGATGATGGGGTTGTTATTGCTGCTGCTACTGCTGGGCGACGGGTGAGAGAGGTTGCTGCTGTGGCTGCCATTTTGCTGAGGGTGGGGCTGCGACGAGGGGCGTGGCGTCATGTGATTGTTGCTGGGGGGCCGGGCCGGGTCGTGCCGCAAGCCCTGGCTCATTGGGTCACCTGGGGAGGAGAGGTGGGGTTGTTTTTAAAAAAAAGTTTTATGCCACTTGCAAGCGCCATATCAGTGCCGAAGATTAGAAGTGTTACAAGAAATACACGAAAGGAAGAGGGAGTGTATGTGAGTGAGTGAGTGAGAGAGAGAGAGAGAGAGAGAGACAGAGGAAGAAAGACACACAGAAAGAATAGAAAGACCTGAACGACAAGGCAAAAATTACTGACAGAAAATGCAAAACAAAAAAAGACACACATGAAGAGAGAGAGAGAGAGAGAGAGAGAGAGAGAGAGAGAGAGAGAGAGAGAGAGAGAGAGAGAGAGAGAGAGAGGGTGTTGAGAGAGTCATGTTGATACAAATCTACGCTTTTTCTTCTTCTTTTTTTTCTTTCTACAAATACACAGCCTTGTTTTTCTTGCCAGAGTAGGTTGATGGAGAGCATTCATTGTTAATTAAAGAAACGTTCTTTCTCGTTTGGCAGCAATAATAATCCTTAAAATATTTTTACTATTAAAGTGAGTTCATTTTGTGTCATGCAAATAAAATAAAACTTTTCTTTTCCTTTGCAGATAGTAGGTGTTGACTCTAAAGAAATATCTACGCTTTTCGCAAAGCAGTCCTTTTTGTGTACATGTAGCTTACTCAAAGCAATTTGAATACACCCCCACCCCCTCAACTTACCCCCTCCAACCATTTTTTAATAACAATTTTAATACTCTGAGGCAATGTGCACATCTAGATCAGTATTTGTTAACCCGTTATAGCTAGTCCTTGGTTTAGCCACTGCTATTTTTTTTTATACCACCCTCCTTTGTGTATTTCCAAGCAAGGCATTAAATGATACTTAACTAACCCGGCGATCTTTACCATCCACCTAAAAAAACAAAATCGCCAATTAGTAGCCGATATCGCAAAGATTGGCCTGCATTTTTTTTCATTTTAATCAAAATTAAAAAGAGACTCTTTTCGAACGCTAGCAATGAAATAACCGAGACGTACATACATGAATACCATTTAAGGTTTTAATTCCCCCCCTCCCCTACTAACACACACACACACACACACACACACA